AAACAAATGTCAGAAGCAAACACCCATTGACAAAGACTTCTGGGCCCCAGCGAAATGTTTAAAGACTCACTTCACACAAATATTGCTCTACTGCAATGCAGAATAGTACTGAATCTTCCCTTGCTCACATACAATCTATCAGCAACCTCATAGATGGTTATTCAAAGATTATCCTTTAGAAAAGAGTCCTTGCAACAATTTTTCAGTGATGATTGTGTTTGACATGTTTCTGGCATGTCAGCTCTACTTATTTGTCTATGATTAAAATCACTGCACTATAAGAAAACTGCATTATGTGACATACAGTTCCATACACATTTTTGGACTGCAAATGTCAGTTCCTATGTCATACTTACTTGCTATATTTCTGTTTCACTCACTCACTCCAATTAACTGCTTTAAATTAGATTTCTCCTTATACACATACCTATCTCATAGAAAAATTTAAAGATTCTACCAAGCAGAATATAATTACTAGAACCGCAGTCCATTTTCATTCAGACCCCCATACATGCTAATATTTCACAACTGCTCAAAATGAAAGAGCTTAAAACTAAGTTATAAATGCAATTGCTGATAACAAATAAAATATTAATGGCTGATATATCCAGGAAAACAGTTGTATTTCAGCCTCAATATAAGTTATTTACAAAAGGTAAATTCAAACTGATTGATTTGGGTGACAATAAATTATGCCACCTGATCTTAGTTCATATGGGCAATGAAAAACAGTAATGTTTTCACAACATGATAGGCTGTTAATTAAAAAGTTTCAAAAATTGGCTAATATGCTGGAAACAAAAAATATCTCATGTTACTGCAACATTATATGCTGTTAACTAAATTTTTAAAAAAAAAAAATGGGAATTTAACAAACGATGAATATTGGTTGATATTCATGTACAGCTTATATAATTTTTGAAAAATTAAAATAGATCAAATGAACAGAGTATACACAGAAAATGAAATACAGTAAGAATCTTATTGGATTATCCTACAATAATTTTTTTTTTAGATTATATGAAGGAAATGATTTAATATAATCTTCATATAATCTAAAAATGATTAGGAGGAGGTGACAGATGATTGTGTATCACCTCCTTCACATAACATCTCAGGCCCCTGGTCGATGAATGATGAACTAGTATTGTAGAGATAAGATTTTTAATAATATCTTTTTGGCATGCTTTTAAAGCTTTTATCTCTGTATTTCTTAGTATTTTATTTAATATCAGTAAAAGGTTATATTAAAATTGTAACAGTTAAGTAGCAATACTAAATTGAAAGTGTAATAATAATAATAAAGGAAAATTCAATTCTAAATAATACTATTATTTTATTTGCATATATGAGTCACATTTCTTATTAATCTAATAACTTACTGCTTCTAGAAACGCAGTTGATATGTTCCTGGAATTGCAACAATGCACATACTACCATTCTATACATCAATTTATTTTAGAGTTTGGTACAAATTATTGTAAATTAAAAATAAATTTTATCGAATCCGCTGTGTAGTCCATATGCTTTTATCATCCATTTGACCAATTCAATAATCTGCAGAAGGAAGATTAAGAGCCTACAGACTAAGAATTAGAAATATCCATATATAAAATCATATTAAAAATGTTTCACTGATACTGTGAGAATAACACATTACACGTGACACTAATGCAAGCCATGTTTTTATTTACGAAGTGAACACTGCATTTTTTGACTACACCATATTAACAACGAAAATAAAATCTTACTTCCAGGAAAGAAGTTCTTTTACCTTTTCTCTCCCTTCTGATCAAGAGCATCTTGTACCATCACAACATGCCATTTGGCATACATATTTCATAATAAAACATAGACTCCAACCTTCAGCAAACCTTGTCAGTAGTCAACGCGCGAACGACATTTTTACAACTTTGAAAATGTGCGCGTAGCGTATGTCGTAATTAAACCATTCATTAATTTTAAATTAATAATTAATTGTAATCATTTTTTATTACATTTAAAATCCATATACATAAAAAACTGAATAATTAAAATTATACCTTGTAAATTATATGCACATTTAATTAGAAATTTTCTTTTAAACTCCTCAAGCATTCACTAATAAAAGTACTTCAAATCACTACTAATCATAGAAAAATCAGAAGCTATAAATCATATCTTTATTCTGGATATGAGATTTCTACAGGGAAATAAAATTTAAATAACCAAGAATGATACATATAAGTATTAAACATAATACGCATAATTTATGAATGCAAAGATTTATATGTAGCATGCTTAGCAAGCTTAAGTTCTGATTTTGAGAATGTTTTTTTATAACACAGTTCTTCATTTGCCTGCATATTTATTTTTTTTCAATCAAACTGCTTCAAGAGTTTTAAGACCTAAATTTGGTCAAAATTCCGTCTGATTTTTTTTAACAATAGAAAAAATTCTTTCGCAAGCTGCATTTGAATGAGGTATTATTAAGACAGCAAGCATTACAGAAGGCAATACTTTGTATTTAATACACCACCCATTCATATTTTTTAATTTGGCAATTTCTCTCCCATGCTATATCAATACGCAAATCTACAATTTCTTTCAAATCATCTACTTGATACATGGAAAATTCAATTTCTACTTGATTAAGACATTTTTCATCAATAATGGATGGAAAAGTATTCATCAAGTAAAGAACAGATGAAAATGAGACTTCATTTCTCAAGTTGATGTCAGCAACTTCAGCATGTTTTAGAAATGGATCACTCAGTGGAAATTTATCAATTATATATGAACATGCAGTTACAAAAAAAGTTCGCACAGAATTGAAAAATGATTTCACTTCACTTTAATTCAACTTGCCATTTTTTAAATATAGTCTTGTTTCCGCACCAATCACTAAATTTTCATTTTCTTTTTGTTTACTATACTTCTGAAATGGAATAGACATTAGAGTAACATCTTCATCTTCTTTAGAAATTACTGATGGTTTTAGAATCTAATAAATAAATTCATTAAAAGTTCAAAAAGTTCTCTTCTCAATTTATGTATATAAGGAGCTTGTTGTTGCAAATTAATATTTACTGTTATAAACAAAGGCAAAGTATTTTTCAAAAATAACAAGTACAATTTGGTGGTCGGTGACTGTAAAATTTTTTTAATGTTTTGCAATCTCTTTCCTTCATTCTCACTGTTATCTGGTTTATCTCTCCAAAAAAATTTATCACAGCATCCCACTGTTTCCAAAATCCTTGTTATAGATTCTAAAAGAGACAACCATCTTGTACTGCAATATTTCAAAATTTTATGAGATTTTGCATTCTGTCCCAAAATTTGTTGAGCAACTTTGAAGCTATGCTTCCGTTTCGAACTTTTCTCCAAGTAAAAATATATATCTATTATCAACATTTCAATTTCTGAGTCAATTAATTTTTCAGTAGCTTTTTTTGCAGCTATATGCAAGAGGTGGCACGGACAACCTCGGGTGATTATACTTGGTTGATGCATTTTGATAAATGATGCTACACCTTTAAACTTTCCAATCATATTACTACCATTATCTGAAGAAAATGATAAGCAATTTTTCCATTCTAAACCTTTGTTTTTAAAGTTTTCATTTATATAATTAAAAATACCTTCTCCTGTATTATTCGTGCATTTTAAAATAGAAATCAATGAAGTAATTATCACTCCCTTTTCTTTACTGTAGTATGTTATAACCAATGGGTACAGTTTGTTATCATTGTTATCATTACTTCCATCAGTACTTAGAGAAAATGATGTACTGAACACTGATTTTATAATATCAGCAACAGTTTTTCTGCAAGCGTTTTCACAATAGCAGCAGTTTTGGTATGACCGCAGCTAAATTTTTTTGCTATGGCAGAATCCGGAAACATTGCTTTGAAAAGCTCTTTGGAATGATCCGAAACAGAAAGCGGTAGATTATGTTTCAATTAAAAAACGAACAAAATAAACAAATAGCATTCGGCTTTTATAGGATCTGTTTCATCATCTTTTATTAAGAAATTTGTTATTTTCTTTAGATTTTACGGTGCCAAGTTCTATATGCTTTTGAGAAAACACATGCCGTTTACAGTCATCTTTTCCACCATGAGCAACTGAGAAGTCTTTGTTGCATACACTGCAGTGTGCGTGATTCACAGAAATTTCGGACGCTTTTAATGCATGGAAATTCTGAAGAATACGACGAATCTTTAAACTTCTGCTTTGATAATTTTGGCTTCTTCGTTCGAGGCAGCATTATGATTAAAAATCTTTCACCTGATTCACAGTTCACAAGACACACGCTAAGCTCTCGCCGTAAACTACACAATGCAGCCGAATGCAGCCTAAACACGCATCAGCGAGGAACCTGGGAGACCTACAATTGGGTGGAACTATTGATAAGTCGTTAACGGTTGGAGTTACTGATCTACGATTGGCTAATTCTTCAAAACTAGGAACGCACTCAACACGTGATATATGATAACACAAGTATTCAGCCAATCATCGGATGAATTAGTTGGTTCCGTTTTGCGTACTGGTTCTCCTGCTCTTGTTTCTGTAAAATCCGTAGTTTTTTCCATACTTTTCGTAGCTCGTAGTTTTTCATGAATTTCCGCAGAAACTACGGAGAATCCGTAGTAGTTGGAGTCTATGAATAAAATCTGCTTATTCTGGTCTCCTCTACCTGCTTTAACATCTGCCAGATATATTTTTCTGCAAGTAATTCTGCACACTGCAACTGACCATCACCAGTCCCTTCTCAATGTCTCAAAGATTTAAAAAAAAAAAAAATTTGCTGTGAAACCTCAAACATTCTTGCAAGCAAGTGAAACAAATTACTGATGTATTTTAATTTTTTAGTTCTGCTATCTAATACATCATATTAAAAAAAGCATTCTTTCCAGAACATCAAAAATCGCAGGGTTTAAGGTTTAAGATATTAACACAGCACATTTGTTAATGAATTTAAATGCTATACAATTTATTTAAACAAAAACATTACTTACTGTTGTAATATCAGATACAGTTAAACTTTCAATGGACTTTTCTATATCCTGAATATCACTGATTCCACCAAACTGAGATGCTTCAAATGCCATTGCAGATATAAGACCTTTGGAAGTTTCTCGTTCTAAATTTAATCTTGCCTTCAATTTGTGCCTAGCATAAGGAAATTATATCACAATTTATTATTTGTCTTAAATGTGCTCCATTCATTATTAAACGATTAACAAATTGGCACAGAAATAACATACTTAGCACTATTCACAGAGGATTCAGAGATACTTTTTGTCACATCTCGCATTTGAGAAACAACAGCCTTCACCAACTGAAATTAATATTTTATTTAAAGATCCTATTGTTAGAATGTGACACTTTCAAATCTTACCATACATAATAAATGCAGAAGAAAAATAGCAATAAATAAATATACTTCATTCACTGGGATGCTTGCAAAATACTATTTTAGAGAAAGTATTTTAGAGAAATTTTTTTTCATCACATTATTCGCCTCTCTGGAAAGGAGATTTTTTTAAAAAATTTTAATAATCCTGATGTGCCAAAATTTCCTAACTAGCATTAAACTCATGGATAACCAACAGCTTTTCTGCACAAGAATAGAAAAGACAATTTTACGACAGTAAAAAAACACATTTGCAATCATCAAGTTTTTAAAATTTGAATCAATAAAAGAACTTTAAGTTTTCAGAACTATGCAATCTGAAATCACTAATCAACAATTGTCCATTATATTAACAGTTTAATATTTTTACAGCTTTAGTATATTAAATTTTACATACAGCTGCAATTTTTTTAATTAGAAGAACTCTGAAAATTCACAAGCAAAATAATATACTGCAACATATAAAACATTATAAAAATGAACATCTAAGATTAAGCTAAAGAAAAGTACAAGAAATACCTCTTTCATATCATCAGAATTTCCTACAATGTAAACACCAAATAAACCAGAATCTGAGTAATTCACATTCAAAGTAGTAACCTGCAGAAGACATTAAAGCACTTTAAAAAATATATTAAAGCATCTTAAAATTTATAAATGTCACAAAATTTTATGGCTTATCAAGTAACACTTCCCTTGATATATAGATTTTCACAGTTCTTTAAAAACATTCATCACTTTCAGTTCAGAGTAAAATATTAGACAAGCCACTACATAAGAACATAATTGCTACACCAGTTGTAAGAACACTCTGCAACCAATTTAAAACATAAACTTTAAACCTAATCACAGAATAAAAATTCAAACTTAAACTAGCATTGGTTTCAAACAATTCATTTAACGAGATCAAATATGGCAGATTTACACCAATGATTTACTTGAAATTATTGGCAATTGGGATTTGAACTGCACAATGCCTAATATAAACATATATTTTTTCATTCACAGTGCTGGAAAAAATCTCATGAATATTTGTGGAAGTTTGGAATTTTTTAGACAAACAATATAGCTCAATATACATGTTAAAAAATAAAATTAAAAAAAAAAAAAAAAAAAAAAAAAAAAAAAACATTCAGTGCAGCAGGAATGCATGAAATTACATTGCTGGTCTTACATGAAAGGTACAATATGCAAGTGATTAGCATTTCACAGTATGCACACATCACAAATAAGAATAATGACACTTTGATGGAGCATAAAAAAAGTCAGACTGAGACGCAGATTTTTCATTCAAAAGTTGCACGCTTGTTTTTTGTGCTGGAGGTCATGATGTAAGGAGAAACTCCTACCAGCATATCTCAGAATTTGATCATAAGAGAAACGTAACATGCGGAGACTGTGCATCAACTTACTGTGTAATTATTTCTCATATGATTCTAGACTTATCAGAATGCAGTTGATGGGTCCAGGACAGCAACAAAAAGCAACAATGTCTGAGATGACAGACATACTGTCCATGTATAAGTACCTCTGGATCTTTTTGTACTACAGTACAAGAATCAACACCTATAATACATACACAATCTATGACTTATACAGATGCATCAATGACATGATGTGATAATTTTCTCACGGATGCATTTTTGTTTAAAGCATTACAATGGACATATTTGTGCATAGAAGCATCAAGGTGGTGATACTTGCATTCTTCACTATCATACCAATACAGAAATTGAATTGATGGCATGGATGCCACTGGGTAGACATCTAGGTTGATTTCAAATCTGCACATCTAATAGACTGACCAGCCATCGTTACATAATAGCCCCGTTCACATGCAACTCTCTTTCGTGCAGCCACCGTTTATATTAGGGAGAAATGGGGGTATGAAGCAGTTTCACCTTCAAGACAGGTTCAGATGCACATCGTCTTCCATCCCTCAACCCGTAAACAACTGCGAGCAATGAATGATGTCACAAACGCAGATCGGACTGGCAGATTTCTAACGTTTGCTCACGTCTTTTTTGGCATTGTTTACTATTGCTACCGAAAGCCATCGGAGTTTAACTCTTTAATTAACTAAAATACACCTAAATTAATTTAAAATGCAATTTATATACGAGACCAAATGGTTAAAAGTGGGAAAAAAAATCACTTATATAGCTGAACGGTTTTAAATAAAATGTTTTCCAGCTGTTAAAATTTCAAACTTTGCTTGTTGAAAAAATGAATGAAACGACAAATATTATTTACATTAATTATAAAAGTTTTAATATTGATTATAAATATTTTAGAAAATATGTTATAATTAATTCATGCATTAAAATTGTTTTCACCCTGTTTTACGAAGATTTTAAATAAAAGTTTGTAATTTATGTTTATATTAACCAATTGAATAGCACTAGGTTTTATTTTATATATTGTTATGAAATGTACAGGTGCGGTAAGACAGCTTCCCCGCAAAGCAGTTTTAGAGTTGAACCATTTGGCGACAAAATTGGTGATTTACCATGGACGGATGGAGAACCTTTTGAAACAAATTCTTACAGGTTTAGCCCAGAATGTTCTCGAACACAAACCGAAACCTATACAAAACCTGCTGGTCCGCAGTCAGTCTGTGCCTCGTCTAGCGAGCTGATTAGTCAGTCATTGAGCAACTGTCTCGAAGTCTAGTGCCGAGTTGATCGTCCAGTGCATCAAGAGTCTTTTTGTGTATTGTGAGATAGTGCATCGTCAAGTTTTGTCTTAGACTGTGCTGAGTCGAGAGCTATACTCTTGTGTATCGTCGAGTGCACCACGAGTTGTAGTGTGGAGAGTCTAGAGAGTACGTGGAGTTCCGAGAACGACCAAGCAAAGTCGAGAGCTGTACTCTGGTGCTTTGCAGTGAAGCTTGTCTCCAACGTTATTGCCTAACAGTGTGAAGACTGTGTCGCTGAACATGTCAGCGTGTCTATAACAGTTTGATGACTGTAAAAGTGATTTTGGAGCTATCTGATTAATACTGGTAAATAAAGTGTGTTTCGATACTTCATCAAGTGTCGTTATTCACTCAAAATCTACGAACGTGAAGGAAGAAAATAACGTAACAACTAGTGTCAGAAAAGAAAAATGCAACAACTGGTGTCAGAAGTGGGATTTGTGAGTGAATGCCAGTGACCCGCCTGCAGAGGAAAGCCATGGCGGAGGAAATGGGGACTTTGATGAACTTCTTGAAAGAGATGAAAGCTGAAATGAAAGCCGGACAGGAGGAGATAGAGGCTGAGATCAAGAACGAGATAAAAGCCATAGAAAAAAAGATGCAAGAGAAATTCGAACAGATGGAAGTGGAACAAGAAAAAATTAAAAGAGTGAGATCGAGGAGCTTAGAGAGGATACTGGAGCGAAAATAGGAGCTGTGGAAGAATGATTTGAAGAAAAATTGAGAAAGTTCCGGGAAGATGTAGATGTTTCGAAAGAAAACCAGATTGAGCCCAAGAATGAAGCTGAAGATTTCAAGGTTCCACAAGTGTACTCTCATACGATAATCAAACAAAGCACATACGATGGAAAATCCTTATTGAGTGTATATAAGACCCAGTTTTCAATCGCGGCGTAAAATAACAAGTGGGACTCCCACATAAATGCTTCGCAGTTGGCTGCGTCACTGCAAGGAGATGCTGCAAGGGGTCCTCTCCGAAGACCAGATTTCAAACTTAAACGCCCTCTGGAATGCGCTGGAAATGAGATTCGAGGAAAAGTGCGCAAAGGACTGCAGCCATCTGCAGTTAAATCCCGCCAGCAGAAAATCACGGAAAGCCTTCAAGAACTTGCTTCTGACATCGAGAGGTTGGCGCATCAAGCCTATCCGGACTGCCCACCTGATGTCCAAGAAAATCTGGCCTTGATGCATTTCTTTGATGGCGTTAAGGAAGCGGAAATTCAGAAAGCTCTCAGATTGGTGGATCTGAAAGACCTAAAATCTGCTTTGGTCTATGCTATGAAGTTCGAGTCGGCTCAACAAGTGACTCGAAGAGACCGCCATTCTATTAGCGCGGCTCAAATAGAGGATCTAAATTTGGATATCTCAAAACTAAAAAAAGAAATAAGAGAGATTTAGGAGGCATTAAGACAACCTAATAAAAACAATACTGGGAAGAAAATCGTCAAGTGCTGGAACTGCGGATTGAAAGGACATCTCAACAGGAACTGTCACGTGAATCAAGAGTGGGAGAAAGCTCCCGCAAAACAAAACCAGGGTAACTAAAATGCGGCAATCTCACAGGGCAGAGGTTGCCAGGCAAAGATGCAGCCCCTTTGAAAGTTCTTCAAATCTCTTCAATGAGCGGCGGAGATAAAGGACTGTTCGCCGAAGGATACGTGAAACATCCTTGTAAGATGATCATAGATATGGGAGCAAATGTAACCATCATGAGAGCAAATGTAGCTCGAGAATTGAGCGAAACGTTGCACTGGACTCCGCCCTGTGTGACTTTACAAACAGTGACAGGTGATAAGATTCCCACTGAAGGTAAAATTAACATCAGCATTACCTTCGGAAATGAGACCTACCAGCACTTAGCTTTTGTCGCTAACATCGCGGACGAATTAATACTCGGACTGGACTTTTGCGGAAGTACGACTTTACGTTGGACTTTAAACGTAACGAAATGCACTCTGCAAAAGGAGATATAACTGTGTTTGAAATGAAGAGCAGCATTCTCTCAGCTCATCAAGTAACAACAAAAACAGATCAGAACCCTCTGATGACAGAATTATTAATAGCCGGCTCCATAGAAAAGAACAGCTTCAGATTTGGACTAATTGAATACCCTGAAAATAGCCTACGAGAGGTATTAGTGGCCTCCTCATTAGTAGACCTTTCGAAAGATTTTATCCCTGTGAGAGTGGTGAATGTTAGCCACAGACCGAGAAAGATACAAAAGGGTAAAGTGCTAGCAGCATGCACTCCAGTTACTTGCGTTTACAAAGTCCCACTCAAAATTCCGACTGAGGCAGCTAGGAAATTAATGGAAGAACTTCTGCAGAGTGCAAATTTAACCCACGAACAAAGACGTGTGGCAGAGGAAACAAACAATTTGAAGATCTATTTTCTAGGACATCCAGATATGTTGGTTGCACAAAACTGACACAACATCGAATTGATACGGGGGATCACTCTTCGATAAAGCTGCATCCCAGACGTCTACCATTCGCAAAACAGGAAGAGGTTGGAAATCTGCTGGAGATGCAAGAAAATGATAGCATCGAAAATTCCACAAATCCATTGGCATCTCCTATAGATCTCGTCCGGAAGAGAGATGGCTCGACAAGATTTTGTGTCGGAGACTAAATAACGTCACTAAGAAAGACAGACCCTCTTCCCAATATTGACAATACTCTAGACACCCTATCAGGACACAAATGGTTTTCGACTCTGGACCTCAAGAGTGAATACTGGCAAGTGGAAATTCATCCCGATGATAGAGAGAAAATTGCGTTCACTGCCGGTCAAGGACTCTGGCAGTTTAAAGTTATGCCTTTTGGACTCTGTAACGCCCCAGCAACATTTGAACGTCTGATGGAGACAGTGCTTCGTGGTCTATCTTACGAATCCTGTCTGG